AGGTGTCTACCGAAGGAACCTTATTTCGACACTTTCTTGAGGTTATTTTTTTTCGTCGGTTCAGGCCAGAACAATGACTTTTTAAACGGGGATGGTAATACCACTCCTGGCAGAACACGAGAATGTTTATTATTTCTGCAAGACTTTATATCTTCATCTTTATTTAATCATTAGTATAAGTATATATTTAATACCAGATATTAGACAATTTTGTTTGACTAGTTTACTCGTAATTTTTATTGATTGTAATGGCCATTTTTATTTTAAAAATAAAAGTAGTTACGTAAACAATTTAAAAGAGTACATAAAACTTTCAATAAATTTTTATTTTCGGTAAGTTATAGTGGCAACATTTGTTGCTGGACAGTGTATTAGGAAAAATCAATTTTTTTTTAGAATTTCAGGTAAAATAATTTCAGGAGAAATAACTTTTTAGTTACGCATGGAGTTTCCAGCAACTACGTGGTATTATGAGGGTTAAGGAGGAGACAATTCTTATTTAGAGTTGTAGCTAATATACATTATTTTGTATGTCAAAGGAAGAAATCGCAAACACGTAAATCGTAATATATTTATTACTAACACATTTTATTAGTTTTCTCTTGTATTCATGTACCTAACGTGCACCATGCACAAAAACATTATCCAACTTCAAAGAGATTTACACTCACAGACATAAATACTAAATGTATTATTACCGTAACGCGTGCTGAATTGTGTTTTGTTTCCAAAATAGAAGTTGTTGGAATTTCAGTGCAAAATTTTCATGAGATAGCAGGTAAATCGAATTAGGGAAACGGCCAATTTTACAACATCTTGTGATGAGTTTCAAGCGCATTGCCGGTGGTAATCTCTGAAACGCTTCCTTTATTCGATAATCGAAAATTATATTACCTACTGGACTTCCCTCTGCAATGCATCCATCTTTCTGACGCTGCATGCTGCTTTTCAGACGACAAGTAAATTGTTTTACATACACTTCTAAAATAAATATTAGTAGTTTTCATACCAACACATAAATAGTTTATTGATTTTTTTCTTGATACATATTGATATAAATTTTAAATTATAACATATCACTTTAACAAACAACATTACTTATAACTCAATTTATCTCAGACTTTATTCTCGTGACTGTGTAACTCTGTTGTTTTATTTGCAAATAAGAGAACTAAAAGGAAAATAAAATTTTTCTTCTTTTTCTAGTTCCATGACCGTTATCGATGGTTGGATATCATGTTGGCTACCATATTCGCTATCGTGACTTTATTGACAGCAGCTCTAAATAACGATGTAGTTGATTTTCCATACCATTGCCTTAGATTTTTCAGCCATGATGTTCTTCGTCTACCAGGACCACGATTATCTTGGATCTTTCCCTGAATGATCAGATGTAAAAGATTATATTTTTCAGGGTGTCTCATAATGTGACCGAAGTATTCCAGCTTGCGTTTCTTTATTATATTGACCAGTTGTGTTGTTTGGCTCAGCCTCTAAGAACATCCCCATTTCTCGCTCTGTCGACTGCTTATTTTCAGTAGTCGTCTGTATACCCACATCTCAAAGGCTGTCAAGCGTTTAAGCATAGCCTCAGTTAGAGTCTACGCTTATGTAGCAATATGTCATACGAACTCTAAGGTCAATGCTAAGATCGTGACTGCAAAGTACGTTTCTCATTTTTACAAAGGCAGCTCGGGCTCGTTCTATTAGGTTTTTAATTTCTGCGGTTAAATCCCAGCTCTCATTAATATTACTGCCGAGATACACGAATTTCTCTACTCTGTCCAGTGTGACATCTCTGAATTTTATACCGTCATCCTGTATATAATTTTGTTTGCTAACTATCATATATTTAGTTTTCTTAACGTTGAGTTTTAATCCATACTGATCACACGTCTGTTTTAGTTTGTTCATTGGATTTTGAAGGTCTTCTACGCAATTGGCAAGGACTAAGGTATCTTCGGCATATCTAATATTGTTGACGGTTACTTCATTCACAATAATGCCTTCGGTTGTCTCCATTAAGGCTTCCTTAAATATTTCCTCCGAATATAAGTTAAAAAGTAAAGGCGAAAATATACAGCCTTGTCTCACTCCTCTTTTTATATTTATTTCATCAGACAGTTCTTGTTCAACCTTTATTCTTGTCACTTGATGCCAGTATAGATTTGTAATTATTTGTAGATCTTTATCGTCCAATCGAGCTGTTTCCAATATTTCTAGCATTTTGTTATGTCGGACTTTGTCAAAAGCTTTTTCAAAATCGATTGCACAAATGTACATATTTTGATTTATACCTTTGCATCTCTGTACTAGCACCTGTATACTAAACAAAGCTTCTCTTGTACCCAAGCCACTCCTAAACCCAAATTGAGTATTGCTAATTCTGTCCTCTAACAGCGTGTAAATTCTGCTGTGTATTACTCGCAGGAAGACCTTCAAAACGTGACTCATTAGACTTGTTGTCCGATAATCACCGCATGTCTTTGGACGATGTTTCTTAGGTATTGTGACAAATGTCGACTTTAACCAATCAGTTGGTAATATCCCAGTGTCATAAATTCTGTTAAAGAGATTATACAGAGCTTTAATTCCATTTTCTCCCAAAAACTTTAGTATTTCAGCACTTACTTCATCGAGGCCAAGTGCTATTCCATTTTATGTCGTTTATATTGAACGTCTTACCTCACTTTCTGTTATAGATGGACCTGATATAGCAATCGGTGTATAGTGTTCTACTCTCTCATCTTCAAATAATTCAGAAATGTAGTTTTTACATTCGTTTAACTTTTTATTGATGTCTAATATTCTGTGTCCGTTTCTGTCTTCTAAACTTTGGGATACTTGTTTCCGTTTGTTTCCAGCGACCTCTTTTAATTTCTTGTGCAGATGAAATGTATCGTGTTTCTTTTCATATTGTTCAATTTCATTACATTCTTTACTGCTGTATTGTGTTTTCGCGTGTCTTATCTTCTGCCTGAGTATTGCGTGGATCCTCTTGTATTCGTTTCTATCTTTATTTCTGACTTCTCTTTTTTGATCCATAAGTCTCAGTATTTCTTCTGTCATCCACCTTTGTTTTTTTCATACTTTTAGCGCACTCAATTTTGTTTCTGGAACAGTCTTTAAGATGTCTTTAATTCTCGTCCAGTTTTCCTCAGTACTTTCTTCTTTGCTTGATGTTAACTTAATTTTTTGTTCTAATATACTAGTTATTTCTTGTTTTACAGTATCATTTAGCATCGTTTCTCTATCAATAGTACCTGTTTGCTTATTTGTCCTTGCAACTCTTTTTAATCTCAGTCTTATTTTTCCTACTAAAATATTGTGATCTGTTGATACATCTGCGCCTGGATATGATTTTACTGCTAATACTGAATTTCTGTATCTGGTATTTATACATATGAAGTCTATTTGGTTACGAACAACTCGTTCAGGTGTATCTGCTGGTGATTTCCAGGGGTAAAGACGACGTTTTTGAAGTTTGAAAATTGTGTTCGGTATTACTAATTGCTTTTCTACGCAAAAAGATGCTAACATATCTCCTCTTTCATTTCGTATTCCCAGACCATATTTCCCTATGATATCTTCCTGTTCACCTTCAACAATCTTTGCATTAAAATCTCCATTGATAATATTGAGATCGTGTTTCTTTGTAGGTGCTAATACTTTTTCTAAATCATGATAGAATTTTTCAATTTCTTCTTGTTCATAGTCTTGTGTGGATGCATATACTTGTAATATGTTCACATTGATTGTTGTTGATTGTATTTGTATATCAGTATCCTGTCTGAGAATAGGACGACGTTTTTTACAGCTTCATCTGTTTCCTTCAACACAATTATTGCTACACCATTTTTGTGTTTTGAGCTGTCTTCTCCTAAATAGTATACAATGTGATCATCTACAGTTACTTTTCCAGACCCCGGCCATCTCATTTCACTTATTCCAAGGACACTTATATTTAGACGCTTCATTCCTTTAATGGTGTTGTGAATTTTTCCTGGTTCGTACATGCTTCTTACATTCCATGTACCTATTTTTCTTTCTTTAAAAAATGTGTTCATGTTTCTAGCTGACCGGGAGCTTCTTAGCACCCCTGTTCCATTTAAGGAGCGCCCATACTCGGAGCCGTTGTATTTATCAGCCATTTCCATGATTGTTTCTTGGGAAAATTAGGCTCTAGGTGGTTTCCCGTTGCCTTCCTAGAGTGTGTAATAGAAGTAAATATAGTGACCCGTCTGCCCTCGGAAACCTAATAGCCATTCGGGGTCGAAAGAAACAAGAGTTAGCCAAGAGAGGCCGATAGGAAAGATGAAAGACATTTCACTCAAGACAAGTTGAAAAAGAGTGAAATGTGAAGGCCCTTATGATGCGCCAGGTGCGTTTCATAATCGTATTGGTATTAATACACTTTGTGTTCCCGCTCATACCTCGGGGTATTGACTACAGACTGTATGGCTCGTCCAGCATGCCATAGCATGGAGGGAAGGGCGCATGCCATTTTTTACAATGTAGGCACCCCAACTAAACTGTCTAACCTTCATAAAATTTTTATTTTAACAATTTTAAGAAGAAAATTAAAACAAACTTTTTCTTGTAAATTTAGTATCGAACTTTTTTTTTTCAATACTAGACTTCTCGTTTTCTTACATACTCTTTCCTAAAATTCTTTCCCTGACCAATCACTTTCTTGCTTGACCTTGTGTGGCTGCTTTTCTACTATCAGTATGCGCGAGAACGGTATGCGCTTAATATTTCTATTAAACTCTACCACCAACACTTCAAATAACTAAACTTTTTGAAAATTTGTTTTAATTTGATATGCGAAAAAAAATTGTTAATAACCCAGTCTCCCAGAACAGAAAAAAATTCCGTATTATAAAAAATCATCAATGCCATTGATAGTACAAATGCTATAAAAAATCGTTAAATATTTGCTTTCTTTTACTTTCTTCTTTACATTGTAATGTCTGCATATATATTTTTTTTAATTTTAGGATTCTAAAATTGGAATATATCAAAAGATGTGGAGATTCATGGAAAATAGAAACCCGCCAGCCTTTGTAAAATCTTACGAGGATGGAGTACAGGTATGTGTATATTTAAAAATCTCTATACTTAGTAACTATAAATTAAATCAGACCAGTAAGTTGTAGTGCTCTTAGAATTCTATGTAGAGTTATTTTTTCATATAGGTTAAATACAATATTTTTAAAATCTTAAAAATATCTAAAAATAAATATATATATATATATATATATAATATATATATATAATATATATATATATATATATATATATAATATATATATATATATATATATATATATGATTTCATTTGTTTTCCGGTTTGACTCCGCGTTAAGTAATTTTGGTTTTTAGAAAAACCATTGTTTTGACGACGTTTCGGCAAGGTCACACTTGCCATTGTCAAGTCAGATTAGTTCTGCTTCGTCTTGATGTTTCAGGAGAACTGATTTCTCGGTCGCTGCTCGCTAAGTTTAAATACCTTGAAGCGCTTCTTGTTATTGGTCCTGTGCGCAGAGTGGGCGGGGTCTTCTTCGCTATTTTAATTTCTACGTTTTTTCTGTAGAATTGATTTCCACGTATTTGGGAGTCTTTGGGCATCGTCTCTGGTATTTAAATTTTTTGGATGTTTTTCGATCTCTATGGCTTCCCTGATTACACGTTTGGCCTTATTTTCGATATTGGCTAGCATTGTTGTTCCATTTAAGTCGATTTTGTGTCCTGTGTTGATGGCATGTTGTGCTAGAGATGAAGTTTTCTGTTTTCTTTCGATGGCGTTTCGATGTTCTTCGCGTCTAACTTGTATCCTTCGATTTGTCTGTCCGATGTACGATTTATCGCAGTCCTCACACGGATTCTGTATACACCTTGATTTTCCAATGCAACTTTTGTTTTCGCCGATGGTAATATGGTTGCGATTTTTTTGTCGGTGTTAAAGATCGTTTCTATGTTGTTTTTACGTAGCACTCTGCTGATTTTGTCTGTCGTACCCTTTATATAGGGCAGGATAGTTTTTCCGACTGGTTTTTCCTCTTTTTCTGGATCTTTGATTTTGTTTCGGGATTTCTGTGCCTTTTCAATTGTATACATGGAGAAGCCATTTTTTCTTAGAGCTGTTTTGACTTTTTGCATTTCTTCGTTCTTATGTTCCTTATCTGCCAGTTTCTCAGATCTTGTTATTAGGGTTTTTATTACCGAATTTAATTGTGCAGGATGATGGTGTGAGTCTGCGTGTAAGTACCTGTCAGTATGGGTTGGTTTTCGGTATACTGTGTGTCCTATGCTTCCGTCTTCTTTCTTAATAACTAACACATCTAGGAATGGAAGTTGTTGGTTATTCTCCCGTTCCCGTTGGATATTATTAATGTGTTGTAGGAACTCGTTAAGCTTCTCTTCTCCATGTGTCCAGATAATAAATGTGTCATCAACATACCTAAGCCACAGTATGGGTTTATGCTCTGCTGTTTCTATTGCTTTTGATTCTATATCTTCCATAAAAAGGTTGGCTATTACGGGTGACAGTGGTGAACCCATCGGTGCCCCTTCAACTTGTTTGTACCTCTGGTCCTTGTAGATGAAATAGGTGTTGTTTAAGCAGTGCCTCGTCAGGTTTAATGTATCCTGTGGTATTGGATATTTTCTGCGTATAATTTCTAATGATTCTTCTACTGGCACATTGGTGAATAATGACACTACATCAAAGCTCACTAATAGGTGTTCAGGTTCCAGAACAACGTCCTTGATACGGTCGATAAAGTGGCTTGCATTCTTGACGTAAGAGTCTGCTTTCTCTGCATATGGTTGTAGCTGGTCGGCCAGGAATTTTGCCAGTGATTGTAGCGGTGACCCGATAGAGCTGACTATTGGTCGTAATGGTAACTCTGCCTTATGTACTTTGGGTAAACCGTACAGTTTTGGACATCTTGACGACTTTTCTCGTGGAATAAGCTGGAACTGCTGTTCTTTCTTGATCTTTGACGCTTGTATTTTGGCTTTAGTTGTTTTCTCCAGCGTCAAAGCTCAAGCGTCAAAGATCAAGAAAGAACAGCAGTTCCAGCTTATTCCACGAGAAAAGTCGTCAAGATGTCCAAAACTGTACGGTTTACCCAAAGTACATAAGGCAGAGTTACCATTACGACCAATAGTCAGCTCTATCGGGTCACCGCTACAATCACTGGCAAAATTCCTGGCCGACCAGCTACAACCATATGCAGAGAAAGCAGACTCTTACGTCAAGAATGCAAGCCACTTTATCGACCGTATCAAGGACGTTGTTCTGGAACCTGAACACCTATTAGTGAGCTTTGATGTAGTGTCATTATTCACCAATGTGCCAGTAGAAGAATCATTAGAAATTATACGCAGAAAATATCCAATACCACAGGATACATTAAACCTGACGAGGCACTGCTTAAACAACACCTATTTCATGTACAAGGACCAGAGGTACAAACAAGTTGAAGGGGCACCGATGGGTTCACCACTGTCACCCGTAATAGCCAACCTTTTTATGGAAGATATAGAATCAAAAGCAATAGAAACAGCAGAGCATAAACCCATACTGTGGCTTAGGTATGTTGATGACACATTTATTATCTGGACACATGGAGAAGAGAAGCTTAACGAGTTCCTACAACACATTAATAATATCCACCCAAAAATACAGTTTACCATGGAACGGGAGAATAACCAACAACTTCCATTCCTAGATGTGTTAGTTATTAAGAAAGAAGACGGAAGCATAGGACACACAGTATACCGAAAACCAACCCATACTGACAGGTACTTACACGCAGACTCACACCATCATCCTGCACAATTAAATTCGGTAATAAAAACCCTAATAACAAGATCTGAGAAACTGGCAGATAAGGAACATAAGAACGAAGAAATGCAAAAAGTCAAAACAGCTCTAAGAAAAAATGGCTTCTCCATGTATACAATTGAAAAGGCACAGAAATCCCGAAACAAAATCAAAGATCCAGAAAAAGAGGAAAAACCAGTCGGAAAAACTATCCTGCCCTATATAAAGGGTACGACAGACAAAATCAGCAGAGTGCTACGTAAAAACAACATAGAAACGATTTTTAACACCGACAAAAAAATCGCAACCATATTACCATCGGCGAAAACAAAAGTTGCATTGGAAAATCAAGGTGTATACAGAATCCCGTGTGAGGACTGCGATAAATCGTACATCGGACAGACAAATCGAAGGATACAAGTTAGACGCGAAGAACATCGAAACGCCATCGAAAGAAAACAGAAAACTTCATCTCTAGCACAACATGCCATCAACACAGGACACAAAATCGACTTAAATGGAACAACAATGCTAGCCAATATCGAAAATAAGGCCAAACGTGTAATCAGGGAAGCCATAGAGATCGAAAAACATCCAAAAAATTTAAATACCAGAGACGATGCCCAAAGACTCCCAAATACGTGGAAATCAATTCTACAGAAAAACGTAGAAATTAAAATAGCGAAGAAGACCCCGCCCACTCTGCGCACAGGACCAATAACAAGAAGCGCTTCAAGGTATTTAAACTTAGCGAGCAGCGACCGAGAAATCAGTTCTCCTGAAACATCAAGACGAAGCAGAACTAATCTGACTTGACAATGGCAAGTGTGACCTTGCCGAAACGTCGTCAAAACAATGGTTTTTCTAAAAACCAAAATTACTTAACGCGGAGTCAAACCCGGAAAACAACTGAAATCACTTATAGCTCCCGCGGAAGTTTCAAATCCAATATATATATATACTATATATATATATATATATATATATATATATATATATATATGTATATATTACTTTATCTTTGATACCTCGCGTTTTTAAATAGCTGGCAACCCTAATTTGCGACCATTTTTTCTCACGCAACCTTATATCATGATATTAAGAAAAAAAATTTTGTAGGCGTCAATTTTTTTTTCCTTAATATTGCATTTTTGTGTGTTTCCTAATGTGGTTAGGCGCCTAAAAAAATATTAAAAAAAATTTTAAGAAAATCATAAAAAATAAAACACTATTAATTTAAATGAACAAAATTGTAACTTTACATTGCAAATATAATAATTTTACAGTCAAAAACGATAATAATCGCATATATACTTGTCTTCTTCTGCGCCTGCACACTCAACGTGAGCCTTAAGGGAACACATCGGCCATTTAACCCAATGCTTTCCTTTACAGCTATCTAAAAATTTAACACAACAAAATAAAAAGTCCGCGTCCTCTTCAGCTGTGACGGAAGATACACCTGGTTAAATTTCTAACTCAGAAGAACCTGAAGATATGGTATCGTCCGAGTCTTTTCCGGAGCTAGATTCTCCATTGAACATAGGACTTTTCTTAGCTTTCTCTTTTCTTTGCAACGGAAGATACTTTGAACCACGACCTTTACCACGTTTAGGTTATTTACTGGCCTTGGCAACTTATTTCTCTCTAATTGTTGCAGCCTCTTCTAATTGCGATTTGTAAGGAGAAAAAGTTATAAGTGCTGAACTGGTTTTTCTACGTCCTCTAGTAGAAGCTCTTTTCTTAATTTTTGGTATAGGGTTGATACGAAATGGGCTTGTATGGAAAAAATTTTGCTGTATTTCATTCATTCTGATGTTGGCTCTGGATAGAATTTTGTTTCTCTGATGATGACAGGTTAGCTTTACGGGATCCAGATGACTTTGGCGAAACAAATTAATCAGATGCTCTTGATATTGATGGTATAGCCAGGTTAACTTTAACACCATTTAATTCAGATGCTCTTGATATTGTTGGTACAGCCAGGTCAACTTTAACACCATTTAATTCAGTTTCACTGGGATTTAATTCTCTCTGCTCGTCTCGTTCCTAAAAAATGGTAAAATTTAAAGCAAGCTGTTTTTACGTGCCTCCACAATGTATTCAAATTCTGTGAATGTTTCAGGTTTTAGGAAAAATTCCAGTAAGTCTGAAGCCATTGATAGCTATCTCAGCCTTCTGACATTTATTGTAGGCTCTCTCAAAAAGCTTCATTCCATCATAAGCACTAACAGGCCGATTACTATGTTGTAACAATTGTCGAATTTCTTCGCTGTACATGAAGCTTTTAGAGGTTCCATGAATGTCCTGTTAAGTGGTTGTATTTTGTGTGATGAATGGGATGGAGTGATACAATTGAAACATAATTTTGTCTGCCCAAATCGATTAAGCCAATATTTTGAGTGTGACTGAAATGTCTGTCTAAGATAAAAAAGACAGGATTTTCTTTGTAGCATTTGCATTTCCCTATATATTGGAATCCTCTCGTATATGTATTAAATTGAAATCCCGTCATATATGTATTAAAATAACGAAGATTGTTTTCCATGTTTCTTAGTTCGTATCTTTCAAGTTAAAACCCAAATAATATTTCGTTCTTTTCACGTATATACGTTCAAGCACCACCCCAGATCTCCTAACAAACGCTGAGTGCCGTTCGCATACGTCTCGATTATTGCTTGCCCTATCTTCACCCCAATATTTTTTGTCCCCAATTTTCTAACCCAAATAATAATACCCCATTTGGTAGGCAAAATAATTCGTTACATTTTCGAAGAGAGAGAAAGAAAAGGTTTTACAATTTATATAATTGTTGGAACCAAATTGTAAACCGATTTGCTTGTATCCAACCTGAGGGATATGCCGCAAATATGATTCCGGGTGAAGCTCCCTTTTTCAGTTGATTGCTCAAATTCTTGCGTAGAAAAATGACCGAAGGGAGAACGAAGATTGCAGTTGCATTGATACAGGCAACGATTGTAATGTCAGTGCAATAACTCGCCTTTTTTACGCAAGTCAATTACTTTAGCCACTTTTGACTGTACGATAGATATACCACTTTCATCTACATTGAAAAGTCTATCAGGGTAAATTTTTCTTTGTCATAAATCTCTTCTAGAAGATTAAAAAATCTATCGGTATTTTCTTTATTAAATTCTAAAGCTTTTGCATAGAACGTGTCAGTTGGTTTTCGTTCTGATAACGTTTTGTTCTTTTTGTGGCGTTTTAAAAAAAGACTTGGCCATTTTTCCCAGCCATTTCATGTTTAAAAGGGTGCTGATCTGATTTCTTTCAGCTAATTGTACAGCCATTCTTCGGAAATATTTTCATGTAAGGCCAAAGCATGATGCTTCATTGGCTAAACAATAATTAAATAGTTCATTTTCAAGTTGTTTGCAAAAAACCAAAGGCCTACCAACTTTTGTAAGTGATACTTCTAAGGGATTTCTATATTTTTCTTTTTCCAATCGTTGCAGAGTTACTCATTTAATCATGGCACATTATACATCTTACTAACATTTTTTAATTAAGCCCATTGTTTTTTGTTTTTTTTTTTTCGGAGAGCGTCAATCGCCCTTGACATATCTAAAGGGGACCATGATCTCAATGTCTTGGCTCCAAGCGATGGGTACAAACTTGTAGTATGCATGTGTTATATACATTTTTCTTTAATTTGACAGAAATAGAGGTGTTTTTCAAGATATATGCTAGTTTGCCGAAAGCGACCCATGCCAGTTGTGTTCTTCTTTTAATTTCAGCATTTTGATTTAGTTTTCTTAGTTTGATGATATGCCCTAGATATACATAATGTTCAACATTTTCTATGGTATGATTTTGTATTGACTAATAAAAAGACTGACGAAAAGTACCTGACTAATATAAAGGTCTGGTCTGATAATTTTATTAGTCATACTTTTTTTAATATATTGTGGTAAAACTCATATAATTATATATAAATACCCATTTTTTTGCAGAGAGTGTTAGAAGGTGACTACGCCTTTCTAATGGAATCAACAATGTTAGATTATGCAGTTCAAAGGGACTGCAACCTAACTCAAATTGGAGGTTTGTTGGATTCGAAAGGATATGGTATTGCTACACCAAAGGGAAGTCCTTGGAGGGACAAAATATCGCTAGCTATTCTCGAACTTCAAGAGAAAGGCGTCATACAAATTTTGTATGATAAATGGTGGAAGAATACGGTGATGTGTGCACTCGCGATGATAAAAGTAAAGAATCGAAAGCTAATGCCTTAGGTGTGGAGAATATAGGTAAATTGTAACTCCAAAGTTATTAGTCATTGAATTTGGTTAGGTTTTGTTAACACTAGAACAACCGTACTTTTAACACGACTAGAATGATAGACTTACGAATTAAAAAAGCAAAAACAATAATAAACAATTCCATGATCATGATTATTATTATACTTGACTCTAATTACGAATCTTCGAAGTTCTTTGTTTCCATGTATTACGTTGAGTTCTTGGTTTTTTGCAACGATCATACTGTTGGTTTGTTTTGTTTTAAAAATAATTTTGTGAATACTCTTTTCTGATTGTTGTTGTAGTTTTGGTGTTATTAGAATTGGTTGGTTCATCATGTGATTGATTTATTGGTTAATTTATGGCTCTAAAACCTTCACAGGGCTGCAAAAAATGTCGTCAACTGAAAATTTATTTATTTATTTATTTATTAACGCGATACCACCTAATTTAATATATATATACAAAGTATTACAAGTATTATCTAGTGATACAATAATTATATAGATATAGTAAATATGTATGACAAGAATTGGCGATGCAGCTATAAAAAAAAACAAATATTAAAATTATATAAAGCACATAGCAATTTCCGAAGCGCACAGCAACAAATCAAAGTCTATTCTATTTCCATTTAGAATGATTCTACTCAGTGGAGAAATGCCTACCAAAGTTAGAGCGATAAAATTTAATTGCAAAATTTTGAGATATTCTAGTAACTCTAGAGGGACATTAAAGTCAATTAGAGACAGTAGATCATTGCAATTAATTTTTGAATTCAGTAGTTTATGAAGAAACAAAACATCAGCATACATCCGTCTGGAAGATAGCCTAGGAAGGTTTAATGTATTTCTAATTTCTGAGTAGGAATGGTCGCTTAAAGGTTTATGTAATTTAAAACTTAAGTACCTAATGAATTTATTTTGGACTTTTTCAAGCTTGGCTATATGGACTTCATAAGTGGGTGACCAAACGACTGAGCAATACTCAAGAACAGATCTAACTAGGGAAATGTAAATCAGTCAGATGGAATTAATGTTATGCAAACATCTAGAGGTTCTTATAATGAAGCCTAACATTTTAAATGCCTGGTTATTCACATAATCAAAATGAGCGCAAAAATTTAGTTTGGAATCTAATTGAACACCTAGATCTCTTACAATTGAGACAACCTTCAGTGGTTCTTCAGCTAATTTGTAATTATAAGAGAGGTTGTTAATTCTTCTACAGAAACTAATAAAGTGACATTTTCCAACATGAATGCTCATTTGGTTCCAATTGCACCATGCCATAATTTTGTTAATATCAATTTTGACTTTTTTACAGTCTGAGACGTCTTTGATAATTCTATAGATTTTTAAATCATCAGCAAATAGCAAAAATTTGGAGTTAATTTGAGATTTAATGTCATTAATAAATATATTAAAAAGGAAAGGCCCTAAGTGGCTTCCTTGCGGAACACCAAACGTTACGGAGATCTCACTAGATTGAAAGTGTTTCATTTTAACAAGTTGTATTCTGCTAGTTAGGTAACTACATAACCAGCTATACAGATTGCCCGTAAATCCAATAGTTTAAAGCTTGTTACACAACAATTTATGATTCACAATGTCAAATGCTTTGGAGAAATCTGTATAAATAGCATCCACCTGTAGTCTCCTTTCCAAAGCATCAGATATGTATTGCGTGAAAAGTAAAAGATTTGTCGAACTTGATCTACCTAAAAGAAAACCATGTTGCTCTTCAACTAGTACATTGCATAAAGGTGTTTTAATAGAGTCACATAATACTCTCCAGTATTTTAGGAATAGAAGAAAAAATGCTTATTGGTCTGTAGTTAACTATGTTACTCCTGTTACCTGATTTATGAATAGGAACAATAAAACTACATTTCCACAAACTTGGACAACTACCTGAATCTAGTGAATGAGAAAACAGCAAATATAAGGGGTGGGTTAAAGTACATCTACATTTTTTTAATAGTATGGGTGGAATTCCATCTGGTCCAGAGCCCTTATAAATGTATAAATTGGCTAATTTTTCAAATATGATTTCAATAGATACATTACAAGAATTTAGACTCACTGTTTTCTCATACTCTAAGATGGGCTGTATTAAATCATCATCATTTGCTCTGTAAATATTTTGAAAGCATTGCGCAAAGCTATTAACGATATCCGCACCATTATTAAGCATTGTGTTTCCAACAAACATTGTGTTTGGTAGACCATTATTTTTGCGTTTGCTGTTAACAAAATTCCAAAAGTGCTTTACGTTTAAACTAATTCTAGATTTAGTTTGACTTATATAAATTTCATGACATGACCTGCTTCGTTGTTTGCATTTGGTTCTCAAGGAAGGAACAGTAGATAATCGTCCCAAGAATTTGTTTGTTTATATATCTTATGAGCAATTTTTTTTCCTGAATATTAATGATTTTAGGTCATTAGTCATCCAACGAGGAAATTTGGGATTTGTTAATCTTGTACGTAGTATTGAACAATTGATACCAAACTGCAATATGGAGTAGAACAGTTCCGTAGCTTCGTTAATATCTCTGCAAATACCTAAAACGTTCTCCCAGGAGATACTAGCAAGATACATAATAAGAGCAACATTGTCTTCTCCCCTAAAATTGAAGGAAAAACTATTATATTGAAGCACGGGCATATTATCTTTTATAGCTAAAGAAATTGATAACGCAGGATGATAACGATCACACGGCAATAAATAATCATTAGCAATTTCAACTGTTACATTTTCATTATCATTTGCAAAAACTAGGTCAAGTAAAACTCTGTTGCAATTTGTGATTTGGTTGAGCAGAAATAGGTTATGAAATGCAAAAGTATCAACTAAAGTATCAGTAGCAGTGTTACTATTATTACTAAAGACAACTCTTTCATCATGGTACCATTTGCTGTTTGGCAGATTGTAGTCTCCTCTTAGAATGAACTTGTGTTCAGGAAAATTGTTACAGACAGATTCTATACTAATACAATGATTCTCATAGCATATTAAGGCTGAATTAGGCGGAAGATAAACTGTACCAAATATATAGCATTGATTCAGAGTGCAAACTTCGACAAACAGTTCCTCCAAGTAAACATGTGGTAATACAATAGACCTCGATGAGTAACATTTTTTAACTGCAATAAGGACACCTTCTTCAATTACTTTAACACTAGTTAATGGAGAGCGGTCCTTTCGATATGTATTAATATCTAAAAGTCCCAATTCGTCACTACTAATACCATCACACAACCACGACTCAGTAAATATAAGCACATCATAGTCAGTTGTAGCAGCACTTTCTTCAAGAGTACCAAGCTTAGTTCTAATTCCTCTAACATTCTGATAATATACTGTTAGTTCATTAGACACAATGTGGGAGGTACCCCTGGAATTCAGTTTTTTTTTCTGGATTACTAATTTTGGTCTGCCACGAATGTACCTAATGGTAAGATTTTCTTCACCTTTTGTAACCCTATCTGCCAAATTAGTACAAAGTTAACTAAGGTATTTTCTCTGTAGATAGGTGGAATCGGAGCTAATCTTAATATTGGATGCAGAAAGTTTATTTTTGTTTTTTAAAATTGATAGTGCTACATTCTTATTTTCAATGACTACTTTAAGTGGACGCGACATATTATTCTTGATATTACTAAGTCTAATGACTTTTTTAATTTGAATATTGGGATTAATCACGCTTAAAGTTTGTTTAACTTTCTTCATATTTTCTTCAATTTTTGCTGGTGCTGTGCTAGAGTTGGTTTCATAAAGGTTATAAATAATAATATTATTTTCACGGAGTTTAAGTTCCTCCACTTCCTGGATGATGGTGTCAAGATCTGTGGCTTTGTTATCTCTAGGCAGTTCTAGTGAAAATAACCCAGCCATTGATTGCACTAAGATCTAAAATTCTATAAAACACTTAAAATGGTCATCTCCGAGAACTATTCCATACAACATATTTTCTATTCTAATAAGAACTAATAGAACCAAAATCCATAGAAAAGGATACGTGGATTCACCACCTGAAAAGATCCATGCAGAGGAAGAACAAACGACGCTAGAACCGGAAACACTAGAAATTACCACAAATGAAGAACTTCATATAAATGTACAGAAAGTTCGAAAAATACTTGAAAACCTAAAGAACAGAAAAGCAGCAGGTGAAGACAGCCCATCATTCTCTCTCCTAATGCCAACCATAATGTAGCTTCTCCTTTTTAAAAATCTTAAACTGTTTGTCCATGTGTAGTGTAGTGTAATCTACAATTTTATGTTTATGATATTCTCCAAAAATTGTTGGACAGGCCAAAATTGACGAAGTGTCCCTGAATATGCTCTAGGAAGAGAAAGTACTTGGGAAAGATTTAGTGCTAGATATCTGCCTTTTAGTTATTTGATCGAAAAAGAAATTATAGTAGTCAGAATTGTTTCCAATCTCCGATAGGAGCTGAACTTAAAGAAGAAGATAGGATGTTAATTTAAATACGGAGTAAATAAATAAATGATGACAAAACACATATTTTAGATATAAGTATACTTTTTTATTTCACATCATAAAGAAGTAAAGAGGTTTCGCTGTATCTCCTGCGTTGTTTACTTCATATTTTAGAGTGCACGTACTTCCTGTTTTACTACGTCGTTCATTTGCATTTCTTTGTAACGATAGCTTAATTTAAATATCAATAAAAGTTTAAATGGATAAAATAAAAATGCAACTTGAATGCTGCATTTTCTTCATTTGTTTGTAACCGTCGGTTTTATTGTTAAATTATGTTTATGACAACATACTAATATCTTTGTGTTATTACTGATATGATTGAATTGTGTGTAATGTAAAGTTTCAGCAAATATTCTGGAGTTTTTGTAACAATACCGTTTATAAATATAGTTAGGCCTGACAAATGATTATTATTATCTTTAGATCAATACATCGAATAGCTTATAACTCTTAAATTCAATATTCAGTTAATATCCAGATA